GTTTTAAAAAATAAATTTGTTAATTACAATTGTTATCTAATCAGTAGTAAAGTGGAACTATAAATAAATTGGTTTATATATATAATATAATGAATAAGTAGAAAAGTAGCAAAACTGCACTCAGCCGTTGCTATTAGTCATTGCAAACAGGAGAAATTTTGTAGAAACATTCAGAAACATTATCGATAGAAATAATACATGTAATTATTTTTTAGTTTGAGCGGTAGACCTCATCAAGTCATCAGTAATGCAGATTCTAAATACTGGTATTCCTGGGAATTTTGTAGAAAATCTGATTAGCTTTAAATGATTCTGAGGCATGACTAAATCATTTCCTAAAGTCTCATTTTATTCGTTAGGGTAAGCTGCTTAATATATGGATACAGGAAAATATGTGCGTGTTTAAGTTTACATATATCACACACATACAAATATGCACGTATATAAGAGTTGCAAATACGGCTTGAGGGACAAAACTTACGCTTTGCGTATGTGCGCGTGTACGAGTGATTGAATCTAAACTCTCTTTGCGAAAAAGTGACCTTTTCACCGTTGAGATTTCGAGATCTCATGATTGACTGTACCGATCTTAATCAGACTGGTCGCAAATTACGCGCGCAATAAAAATTATACATATAAGAAATATATATCGTTTATACATTTTTTTACTATTTTATAATATATGAGATATTTTAATCAAAAGCTTGAATTACGTGAAAACTCCAGATAAGCTTATTGATACAGTGTTGTGGTAGTATAAACATAGCCCTATAATGAACAGTCACTTTTTTGTGTATTTGACGCGGTACTACCGTATCACTTGATTATCAGATATTTTATTAGTTGAATAGCAGATAGGTAAGATACAAGACAAAATAAATTATAGTGAAATTATTACTCAAATTACTAAAGAGTATACATATAACATAGTCCAATAACATACAACTTTAAAAACAATGTAATCAAAATTACAAGTTTACAATAAATTTGTGTTTTGTACTGTTGTGTTACAGTTGCGTTATCCGTAAAATATGATGAATACCAATAATATTCAGCACGATATAAAATCTAGCTCGAAAAACTTGGACGAAGATGGACTTGTAATGTTATTTAAAGACATATTCGGAGTAAATTCTCAAAATAAATTTCCAAATAATTTCGATACCTGGACCGTAAAAAAGCAATGCGACTGGATAATAAAAAACATAGCAGAATTCTTCCCAAACATGCCGCAGTCTTTACAGAGCATTATTCCAGCTGCCTTTTGCCAATTAGATAATGACCGAACCTTGGAGAAATTACCTGAATGGATGGATATGGATAAATATCGCAGGGGACAAAAATTTGTCCAGAAAAATTACACCGCGATCACCATATCCAAAGTAATGGGCCTGATGTATATTTATACGTTTCAAGAAGAACTGAAGCCAATTATTTTGGGAGCACATAGCCATACGCCGTATTTAGCATTCCAAAGGTATCTTTTTAAAATATTGTATTTATATATAAACATATAAAAAAAAGTAGATAAATATATGCACATAAATATATTTTATA